CTTCGATCCATGAACGTTTCTCTCAGTTAATGTATGCGGTCTCGCAGTCTGAAGCGTCTGTCATAGCAAATCAACACATGCTGTAGTGAAAGTGAAGCGTCTTCTCATAGGATAAGAACACGCAGTCTCATGAATAATTTAATAGACACCGACGCGTCATCGATGTACTATAGTCCATTGCCACGTCACATTGTGACGTCAACACGATGTAGATTTTAAACCCGGAAGATGAAAATAGCGCAAAAAAGCTTAAAATTAACCAGTTTTCTCCAATAGTTAAAATTATCGAATGCTAACATTGTCTTCTATGATGTGCAACACAAACACCTCTGCTAAAATCTCAGAAAAAGTAGTCTGGGGTTTCATGACCCTTTAAAGCTTTATTCGGGATAAAACCGTATATTAAAAGCTAACATAAGCAGTAGCATTTACAAATAACAGCGTATCTAAAAGTATGAGACAACAACAAACAAAAAACATTGGCCTACCATTAAAAGCCGTGCTTGCACATGTTCTGCACGATCCTCTTCAAAAATATCCTCTGCATCACAATCGGGCTCAAACTGATAAGCGATATTAACGACGCCGTTGTTTACAATACAACCGGAGCACATACCGCTGAGGTGAGGGGTGGGACGTTTAGACGCGCACTAGAGGCGGTTTAGCCAATCACAACACACTGGACTAGCTAACCCTAGAACTTGTACGTGGTTGCTAGGGTATTCTGAGTTATTGAAAGTTATTTTTCCCTCCATTTTATTATTTGTCCAATCACTAGTAAAAGTAAACTGTATACCTTTCCTCAGCAATCCACGCAGTTTAAGGCATTATTTATGCCCGTATTATAAGCAAAATGTAATACTTAAAGATTTGTTCAAATACATGAGCAAGCACTACTAATTATATAAATTATTTTAAATATATAAATGTTTTTAAATTACTGTCAAAAACAAGGGTATTATGTCAGTAACCAATAAACTGCCCAAGATTGTTTGAAAAAAAAAATGGTATTGACAACCATCACAGGTAATAAACAAACTCTATTTCTGCTATTTTACAGTAACAGGACTCTCACCATGGTGGGTAGATGTGGACGCTGTCTCCGGGTACAAGCTGTAACTGGGCAGCCGTGTCCTTGCTGAAAAGAGCCACACACATTTCTCCAACCGGCAGCCTGTCACACACAGCAGCCTGCATGCCACATTCCTCCCGAACTCCCAGAATCCTCAGCATCAGCACCCCTGGCCTGTCAGCTTGGGTAAAAAAAAACAAAAAACAATCTGTACATACAATTTAAGTCCTAACTTTGGACAATACTCAGTCTCTTACACAAAATCTCTGCTTCTACTAGGAACAAATGTTTTGAATGAAGCTTAATTTTAACTATGATTGATTGAACAACATTTAATATAGTTAAGTACTATACAGCATGAACAATTAGCCTGGAAGTAAGCTTTAAAGTTTATAAAATGACCAGCTCTGAAAGATGGTTTCATTCTTAAAGTCATTAAGCTTTGCAAAACAGCACAGATACGATACAGGCCCAGTAAATGATTAACAGCAGCAGGATATTTTGGGTTATGCAGTGAAAACTCAACACTGGCACGGCTTCAAGTTTTTCATTTCAGTCAGTTCTGAGGAAATGAAACAAAATCCAGCTCTCTGACGGGATATATTCCCATGCTGACTGTTCAAGGAATAGTTGGCCCCCTCAATTGAACACATGAACACAATTGACTCAGCTGAAATCATGGCGAGCACAGCCAAGACTTCAGAGTAGAACGATGTGTAATGGAAATGTTTGTGAAAAATTTTAAGCAGTGAGAGAAACCGGCTAAACTTACTCCATGCAATAGCATGCAAAACAAAAATACAAGGAACACTGGCTTTTTTCAGTTTTTTGGGAGGAAATGGTACCAAAAAGCTATGCATATGAAAAGGAAAGGAACTAGCTGCTAAATGCACACACTGACATCTGATTTACCAGCCATGAGAACACCTAATATGTTGCATATAAAAATAGATAAAAATAAATTTTGCAACAAGCAAGAAGTGAGTGGGAGGAATTTCTTTAGGAATTTTCTAAGGAATTATGCCAGTTGCAAAGCTGTCCATAAACTATACCCAATCATCCTAAATCACTTTTCCACATGCTTGAGAACTAAATTCAGATAGAATATAATTAAACCAATATACATTTGAGATTTAAAAAAGTTTAGATGAATAACAATTTTAATCAACTATTTTTTAAATTATGATAATATTTATTTAAAAACTTTCCACCAGTGTTATTTTAGAATCATTGATATACTATTACAGTTTCTGTTAATATTTGATATTATTTTTATATTTTGGTTTCGTTTTTTCATTAATTTTGTGTTTTGTCACTTTTATTATTATTACTTTTTTTTTTTTTAAATATGTCTATATAATATGTCTATTTTAAGTTTTACTTTATTTAGTGTTAGTTTAGTTTTTCAAAAATAAGACATTTTGGCTTGGCAACTACAGTAGCTGAAATAAAAAGGTTTTAATATTTTATTATTTTATTTCAGTTAATGTTTATTTTATTTCAAGCAATGAACATTTAGTTTTACTTAATAATAATAATAATAACAATCCTGCTTTGCACTGGTAGTGCATCACACAAGTTTAATTTCCTCATATCATTTTACGTTTTCTCTTGAATTTCCACCGTCAACTGAAACATTAACTTCTTTAAACCTCCACACAAACATACCTACACACGCTGAAGACCCCTAGTAGGGCACTGTTTGAAAAGAAATACGTTATGCCATGGAAAATGAAAACGTAAGGTGTGTGATTGTCTGCAGTGTGTTTTTGTGTCTGTGGTTTCCTGTTGCTTTGGCTGTGTGACAATTATTGTCACCTTAATCACATGAAACAAGCGTGCTTTCACAGCCTCCTACTCCAACTGTACACAGTGAGATCTCATCGCTGGAATATTCTACACATTTCATCAAGCATGACAAGCAATTATGGAAATATGAAAACTGCGGGTTGGTGGTTAAATTATTTCCTGACCCATTCTTTGGGTCAGATCTGACACTGGCAGTATTGAAATGAAAAGACTTCATTTTTAATTGTGAAAACATTTATGATAATGTTTTCATTAGTGGTCAGGAACAGAGAACTCACCACTAATGATCTGTACAGAGCTGACATTCAAGACATAATTGAGTCTTCACATAAACAGACAGGATTCAGATGGATGTGTTTTACCAGCTGATGTGGTTGAGTTGCACTGATGTCTCCAGAAGCTGTTGGCTGATCTTTGCCTGCTGTGGAGTCGGTTCAGCCTTTCAGCAAGACCTCCCCTAAAGAGAGAGATCACACGGATTCAGTCAAACAAAATCAAATGAATCAGTCCAACAGAATCAACTGAATTTGAATTAATCCCACAGAATCATTCTAAAGCTAATTACTTAGAATCAAATGCATAAATTCAAATCCCACAAAATCAATCCCAGAGAATTAAACCTATAAGTTTAAGCACTCAGAATCAGTCATATGGAATCAGTCCCACAGAATCATCCATATAGAATCAATAATTTAATATCAAACACAAAATCAGACATTCAGAATCACACATGATCACAATCAGAATCAAACCTATTGAATCAATCACACAGAATCAATCATTCAGAATCAAACACACGTGATGATTGAAACCACCCTGAACCAGTTACACCGACTCAAACCTATAGATTCAGTTGCATGAATACAAGCCCACAGAATAATTTATATATGCAATCAATCACATAAAATCAATGATAAAGAATAAACATGAATCATTTTTATAGAATTAAATAATGAATCTGACTGAATCAACTAGAATCAATCATACTGAATGAGTCAGAGAATCAACTCGAATCAGTCTCATTGTATCAATTCCATTAAGAGAATTAATTTGAATCTGTTCAAAGACAGAGAGTCAGATCCATGGAATCAGTCATAGAGAATCAGTTCAAATCTGTCAAGTGGAATCAATCCCAGAGAATAATTGATATAAAATCAATTAAATGGAATCAATCATAAAGAATGAATCACATATAGGCTAAACAATTACATGGAATCATAAATTCAACCATGCAGAATCATTTGTACAGAATCAGTTACACAGAATCAATATTAAAGAATGAATCCCATGGATTAGATTATAAAATATGCCACAGAATAAATTATAGAGAATCAATCCCATAGACTCAGTAAGAATAAATCCCATTGAATCAGGCATAGAGAATCGATTAGATTCATACAATTAATGATAAAGAATAAATTAGAATCATTCCAATAAAATTAACCATAGAGAATGAATCTGACTGAATCAACAAAAATCCATCATAGAGAATCAATAAGAACCCATGAATCAATTCCATATAGAGAGTCAATCTGATTCATTCAACCATAGAATCAAACACAGAGAATCAATTTCAAGAAATCTATCATACTCTCTATAGTCATATTCACTATAATCTATATTCACAGAACAGGGAAAACGGATCAATAATTAGCTAAATGTTTTTGTCTTTCATAAAACTTAATAGGCTTACATTTGTTACAGGCTTGTTAGCTAAACCACATGCTTCTTATTACCAGAGCAGCTCCATTCTGCATGCACTTGTTAATGGTTATTTGCTTTATTTATGTTTATGATGTACATATTTGGGTTCATTTTGTTACAGGTGGGTGGTAGTTTTTACGTGTGCTTGTGCTATAATCTTTATGTGTGAAGTCACATAAATGCATAATAAAAAACATAAAAAGCCTGCGCTTGCCTGCAGAAGGGACTGAGGGTCAGTAGAAGGAGCGGTGGACTAACAAGAGCCAAAAAGAGACACAGCTCCCCCGTGAGGGAACAAACTCGACACGTCCTGCCTCTCCCATTCACAAAATCTGACAAACGACTCATTTATAGTAAAAACATCATGGGCTGGGCTCAGTCTTTGATGGTGACTAGAAAGAAACTGCTGAGTAATATCTGACAAAAGACTCTTATGCATGTGGTGCTGGTTCTAGTGAGCATAGGAGGAAATACTCTGGTAAATTGACAGAAGGTGACAAAAATAAGCAAAGGAAGCCAATCCTTGATAGCCAATCAAAACCTAAGCTGACCAGGTTTTTACGGTAAGGGTGTGGATGCATTATTAAACCTAGACTTTGAACCCTTTTGTATTCTGTGTGTTTACACTGATATGAAACTTCGGGGGAACTTGACGTCAAACTGTGAAAAAAAAAACCCAGTAAGAATATATAACCAGGGGCGGACTTACCCATTAGGCAAAGGTAGGCGACCGCCTTGGGCAATGTCACGTAACGTCATTTACCTCAGAAAAAAATATTCGTGACCATAAACTCATTAGTCAGATAGAAAAATAAACTGTAGAGAGGAGCGTAGTACCAACTGACTCTCATGTAGGCTATATTTTACAGCATTAGTTGAGAGATTTCTTCCTTGAGAAGATTTGGCATGTACTGTACATGACATGTATCCAAATTAATCGATATTGAATCGAATCGAATTGGTAATCGAATCGAAAGCTTGTGAATGAG